CGAACAATACACCGGCTACCAGACGTAGAAGGCAAAGGCTGTAATAGGGAGGGCATAAGCGTATACCCTGCCTTGGCGTAAGTGGCGAGCATGTGGAGTTTTGTGATTCAGCCACCCTTGATTCAGCGGGCGCGCTTCTGCCTTGCTCTGTGTGGTAGTACTCACGTTAACATGTATAATTTTCAGGTCAGCACGACATTTCACCCACTTCACCCCGTTTCGGACTTGATGAAATGTCTGCGAACCACCATCCGAGTCCTCCAGATGTCCTAAAAGTAGGTCCTACCAGACCTTGTCATGAGGGGGATCAGTCCTTCAACATCATTGGTCGGAGTATGCACCCCACAGGTGAGTTGAACAAAAACCTCGCATGCCCCCCTACCATGAATGCTTTCTGTTTCACCAGTCGTGCATTTTAGGTTTTTATGAAGTGTGAGTAACATCACATTTCGCTCTCTCGCTCTTCTCTCTTTCTTGTCTCTAAACCGTTTACTTCCTAGACGCTCCGGAATGTACAAAGACTACCGTTGCAGGCTTTGAATATCTGGATCCCGACGAAAGGCCCATTCGAGGTTTGCAGTCTAGTGGTGCAATCGGTCTCTCTGGTCTCTCTCCTTTCTCCGACGACGGCAACCTACGATGGTCACTGGAAAGTCAAAAACAGTCAGAACCTGACAGAGAAGACAAGGTTATCTCTACTGTTTTTTTTCTTCTAAAGTATACCATCGAGGCTATCGGTCTTCAGTAGAGTCAATCAGAACACAGTCGGTCAATACGCCTCCCATTGTCAACGATCTGTTTTATTAGGCGTAGTTCATGCTTTCGTCGGGGATCCTGTCAGAATGGTTGTTTCCTTTGATACCATGATTTCGAGATCGGCATAGTATTTGACTGTTTGACACATCACTTTATGGATCTACATTGGGTTGTTAGCGGCACAGTACTACTGATAGAACTCGTGACCCATTTCATGAACGATTGCCCAAATTGGTGGCTGTTATTTCCTGACCTGGTATACAGCATTTACGTGTGTTCGACTTTTGTGCTCAATCTTAACTTGAAAAACATGCAAATGCGGCCAGCTACAACAAATTTTCTCGAAGCATACAAGTAATTCTGACTGAAAAGTACATTTGCATGTAGCACCCACTTCGTCCGATCAGCTTCAAGAAGAAAGTTCAAGAGTTGATTAAATTCTCACAACCATGGACCAATCAGGTTCCGTGGCACTTTTGTGGCCACAGCCAATTGCGTGACGTGTCATAAGCACGCAGCCGGTGCACACGCAGTGCGCGTTCCAGTGGGATTGATTCTTCATAGGAAGCTAGGCATGCCCAAAGGCCCTTTCAGTGGCTACCGCCTATACAATTATATTAACATTTTCTAATGCAATGCTTGAAGGTCGAATGGTGAAGTGAACTCGCCTGAGTCCTCGTCGCGTGCGGACTGGAATGCCGAAGGTTTGTTTTCCGGCTTAAGGTAGAGTTGTATGACAAACTCGATAAGCAGCTAAACACTACTGACAAAGACGGGAGAAACTGGAATGGCCACTTCCGACTGATTAGCCGTCAACAGCCAGCCATACGCGAGGTAAAACAGTACGAATGAGTCCGGTTACCGATCGGTGTTTGTCAGCTAACCCCGACCTAAACCGGCAAGTCAACGAGCACGTAAAGTTTTTGACTTCTATGTAGAAGGTCGCGGGTTCGAGCCTCGGGTGGTGCACCAACTGGGATTGGGTATGACTGGTTGATAACGGTTACTGAGCCTGAAATGGTCATACAAGTGTTCTTTATTTTTGTCAGTAATGTATTTCTGCCTATAATGTGCTAGCTGCTGTGCGGCTGCTTGTATGGGGCGAGAGTGAGTCCCAAGTCAGAACGGAACAAGTAGGTTGATCGATGGACTTTCATCAAACAAACTCGTTAAGCTTAGGTTGGTGTACAAATTGGTATTGTAAGGCCCAAACACAATCTTGGAAAGCGAGCGGGCTGCAGCAGTTATAGATAACGTAAACGTAACTTGTTGGCGTCCGGTGATTGATGCAGTTACCTATCTTGTCAGGTTTCGGGACCGTCAGACAACGAAGTTGACCTGTTCAGACGCAGTGAGCTTGATGATGAAACGCATCCGCAACTCTGCTGAGGGTATACCACTTCTAGGGGACACAGGGAGTTCAAAGGCGCTCACCTATCTTTCCCTCAATAAACTGATACTGAGGCGCGTGAACTTGTTTATAATGAAAGTAGACGTGCGGTGCATCTACTGCACGCTCTCCTTCCTCACCCAACCTGGCTCAGTATCAAAAGAGAATCATCACTAAACTTAA